GCCGCCAGTGAGATCTGGATGGTAGGACCACTTTCACCAGGCGAGGGTGCTTGGAATCAGGCCTACCCATGCGATATGTTTCAACTGGACGGCACTCAGCATCTACTGCATCGAGAACTCGAGCAACTTTATCCTCGAGGTCTCTCTGACGCGCAGATGGACAAAGGCCGTCCCGTCCTTCCTCTAGACCAGAGATAACTATGCTGCGGCTCCGTTTATCGCTCTCGAGGAGGTTAGAGAACTCCATGGGGATCTTTTCCGAGAGAGCTACAAGCATACTTTCAATAGCTGGGTCCTGATTAAGCTCCATAATACTTTTGATAAGTTCCATGGCCGACATGTTATGAAAGTTTTCAGTTTCTGGACTACTAGTTGTATTGGTGCTCATTCTGCTACTCGAGCCAGATATTGGCTGAGAACAGCTCGTTGAAACCTTCTTAGAACGCAGCTGTTTCGATGGCATAATTACTAGTAGCAGGCAGCTAACCGACAACCCAAACAATAAAGAGGAGAAAGTAACTTAAAAAAACTCGAACGAAAGCTGTGAAAACGAAATGGAAACCAGAAATGAACAACGCAAAATAAATACTGAGAAAATAAAGAAGAAATGCTTTTAAAATGCGATTACTAGAAAACACTTACGACAGCTGGGAGGAACGCGAGCGCCCAAGACGACCTCAGTTGCGAATGTCAAATATAGCAGCAGGACACCTTCAAGTAGACACGAACTACGAATGCAAGGCGGAACGATGAATTCTTTCGGAGTCATTCCCATTTTGGAATGCATTATAGATTTTATTTACGTTCAGAACTGTGGTGGCATTATGAATGCGTTACGTATGTTTACTGTGGCCAGTCTGAATACAGTGCACTTTTTCATACTACTAGAAGAGTGTGGGCGAAGTGGCAACTGGCGCACTTCACACATGTATGGTCGTGGGTTCAAATCCCGGATTGATATCCGCTCAACCGAACCTTCCATCCCCTCAAGATCGGTTTATTTCCACCAGACTTGTTTGGGAGGATAAAAGCACTGACATGTATAACGGCTATCCAGCGCAATTCATTGTATAGGCCACATACGCATTCAGTACGCCACAATGATTCTGAATTGAAGTCGAATGCGTAGGAGCGTCCCTCGGGCGGGATTGGTTAACGCCCGAGACTTTATCTTTTGAGAAGAATATGATACCCTTTAGACGACCTCAGATGGATGGAAGGCTCGATTAATCTAAGCAGGTGACAAGCCAGAGTTTGATCCCCGGACTACGCTTGTGATAATGTCTTCGTTGCTTCCTCACCAACTGCCCCTAACGATGAGAGCAGAAAAAGAGGAATCCTGCAAAAAAAAGACAAAACAAATGAACAGTAAACCAGCTGATGAACAGAAACCGAACGACATATTTATTTTTGAATTCGAGTATACAATGTTCGTTCAGAGTATCAGAAAATAGACAACAGACTATCAATTTGCGCTTTGCCTGCTTGACGCCTTTGGCGCTGCCTGACGGTCTGTCTGTAAAATTTAACTACTCACTTCACTTTTGTAAAAAGCATGCTACTGTTCTTTCCTGAAATTTAAAAAATCATGAGGGAGTATTGCTCTAATTTGGTCATCCGGAACTTCAGCAATTGAATCTGTTCTCCTGGGAAGCTCACTTTTCAAATTAGCTGTCTTTGCGTAGGTGATGGATGATTTCCTATGACCTTTTCCCAGTTATTCTGAATTAGAACTATTCCCACTTTCAAGAAAAAAATGACAGGATGTCCCGAGCTCTCTACTTTTTTGAAAATCATTTCGATAGCGATTTCCTAAACAAAAATTTGTCAGAACCTAGGACGGTACCTACATCTCACCTCAGATTTTGATGACAGAGTGGAATGACTTGAAAGATGTCCACTCACCACTTGAGGGCTGATATCGTAACCGTGTTTTAGGAATCGTGATGAATACCTGAACTAGCTTAAATTTGAACGACCTCCGCCACTTTCTTACACCTTTCAAGATGTGCTAATGAGACGGAAGTCGTTTATGTCCTCACTTTGTTAGAAATCGTTTCGTCAAAGGGTTCTTCGGGAATGTATGACGAACAATCCACGCTCTCGCATCAACATCTCTATTGTATTCAAGCAAAACCTGAAATGTTCTCGACAGCTTAGAAAAGGGATTTGGACGAGCTGTCCAAATAAGTGTGCAAGTGCGTACACGTGACAAGAGTGAGTTGCCCGCGTGCAATGTGTGTGACAGAATGACGCATACGTTGGCGCGATTTCTACAGCCTTCAATGGCGCGATTTCTACAGCCTTCACAATGCCGTGAGAACTGGCCCTGCTCTAGTGTGTACTGGGGTTTACCGGTTTTGAGGCTTTAATACAAACATCTCTGCCGCTTTTCGTCCCAACAGCGTCCATTGTGTTATCCCCAGGGGTCATAGTCATCGTAGCGAACAGTCTCACGAATCATTCTTACGAGATCTTCTCGCACAAGGAAATCATCTCACCAATATCGGCTCTCCTAATCTCTCAAGGCTACAGGCACGCAATCCGGCACTCGGCTCTTACAGTAATCCGGCACGTGCTAACACGTGTATTTTTACCCGTCACATATACGACGCGTCGAAAAGGGGCTTTGGGCAAGGACCCGTCACATATACGACGCGTCGAAAAAGGGCTTTGGGCAAGGACACGGGATGGATGGTGGAGTAAGCCAAGGGGATACTGTAAGAGCCGAGTGCCGGACTGGATTTTCGTTTTAGAGTACTTCATGCTCCCCAGACCATCAAATTTTCTTGATCGAAGGGGGTGCACCTATATGCCAGTTCTGACGATTTAAGATAGGCCATTCGGAAGTGACCCACAACTTTTGGCCCAGCTGGTACGTTAGCATTAACAAAATTTCAAGTACGAAAGAGGAAAAGCAAAATCATAAAATCTTGAATAGGACGTTGACCGGCTAGAAGACTGTACAGACTGATTAGAAATGTTACCTTTAAGGTGTGAACATGCTCCGGCTTGTTGAACGGATCGAGATCGGTGCCAATAGTGATCTCTAAATAACGAAGAACTACAGTGCGTTTCATAATTATAAGGTCACCCTCGAATTTTGCGACTCTAGAGAAAGCAGCCGGAATAGAATTTTTTGGCGAACACAGGAAGATTCCTCATCACAATTACCTCCGTATTCAAATTTTGGTCACAATATCCTTCACTTCAAATTTTTTATGAATTTTTTAANTTGAACGACCTCCGCCACTTTCTTACACCTTTCAAGATGTGCTAATGAGACGGAAGTCGTTTATGTCCTCACTTTGTTAGAAATCGTTTCGTCAAAGGGTTCTTCGGGAATGTATGACGAACAATCCACGCTCTCGCATCAACATCTCTATTGTATTCAAGCAAAACCTGAAATGTTCTCGACAGCTTAGAAAAGGGATTTGGACGAGCTGTCCAAATAAGTGTGCAAGTGCGTACACGTGACAAGAGTGAGTTGCCCGCGTGCAATGTGTGTGACAGAATGACGCATACGTTGGCGCGATTTCTACAGCCTTCAATGGCGCGATTTCTACAGCCTTCACAATGCCGTGAGAACTGGCCCTGCTCTAGTGTGTACTGGGGTTTACCGGTTTTGAGGCTTTAATACAAACATCTCTGCCGCTTTTCGTCCCAACAGCGTCCATTGTGTTATCCCCAGGGGTCATAGTCATCGTAGCGAACAGTCTCACGAATCATTCTTACGAGATCTTCTCGCACAAGGAAATCATCTCACCAATATCGGCTCTCCTAATCTCTCAAGGCTACAGGCACGCAATCCGGCACTCGGCTCTTACAGTAATCCGGCACGTGCTAACACGTGAATTTTTACCCGTCACATATACGACGCGTCGAAAAGAGGCTCTGGGCAAGGACACGGGGTGGTTGGTGGAGTATCGCAAGAGCCGAGTGCCGGACCGAATCCCCGTCGCAGTCCCAAGGCCCACCCAAGAAATTAATACATCCCAGCCCCTTCCCCGTGAGTGCAGCCCCCAATCGGTCCACTGGACCCTTACCACCAACAATCGTCAACCTATTCCGTCGTCCCGTCTTCTCGTATGAAACCCATAAGGTTAAAGATCAAGGCTACATGTAATAAACAAAGGGGTTGAGAACTGGTTATCACTTAGCATGTGAAGGTTTTGTTTGCATTTTTGCCATTTTCGCTTGAACAATATCAAGAGGCGGTTTAGTCACTTCAGCCCCGCCGTTATTCAAAGCCACTCGCTCGAATTCAATCCCCAATGTCTAGGGGGTGCAGGGAGGAGGAAATCAACTAGCAGCATGCATAAAGGCGAGGATGCGGCACGCCAGCCTCGAGCAACATGACGTATCCTGCGCCTCTTGGACTGTCGACTGGCAGACGTAGTTTGATGCCAGCAGTTGGACAACCACCAGAGAACCGAAGACATACTGCGTGCTAGCACGACTCACCCCCAATTGGAGCCTAATGACTCTTTCTTGAAAGCGAGGTGCCGCCACGGTATGGTAACGGCCTAAGAGGTATAAGCGAAGGTAGGAGGGATCTGCCAGCATCAGGAATTTCACCTGACCCACGGAAATCCTCACCTCTTCCGGAGAAATCTTGAAGAGCGACGATATCACTGCAACCTGTAAGGCATACCAACAAGACGGTTGAATATTTTTTACCACTTCAGAACATGGAACAATGGAGTCCGCTACGTCGAGGCATGCCTGAAACGGTGGTAACCATGATTCCGAATGCCGAAGAGGTATCTTCGCCTTCCAGACTTTACCACTATGTAGTTGTGCGGCGCAACTCACTCCCAATTATGAGGAGGTTGCGGTCAGAATATATGCCACCACCTTCAATACCGTGCCTTTGGTCCGTAGTGCATGCACTCATGCACGCAATAATGATTGAAGAATGGGTAGGAATTTGTTTTAGTAAAGGTAAGTATCACTAAACTTACATTTGAAGTGAGAGCCGTTAGATAAATGGCGAGATATATCGAGAAACAAAGGAGAGCAACACTGAAGAGGACGGCAAAGATAGCAATAGTTAGCCCTAATCCTAAAATGTACTACGATATTAACCTGACTAAAGGGAAGCAAAGGTCGATCTACATCGATCAAAATCCGTTGAAAGCACGTAACTGAAAAACATTCGAAAGACGAGCGCATGAAGCTGAGTAAAGGCGAAACGTCAAAATGAATCTTACCCACGTAGCTACCACCCAACAAAATAAAAAGATACCTATAGCGATAGCAATACAAACAGGATAGGAAGATGGCACGTCGAATGATATCCCAGTTCATCGTGCAAGCGCAGAACGCATAACCTCCATATGCAGAAAACACAGAACAATGGATCGGTGAGTTGCTTGCCTGAAGCTGTCACGACAGAGAAGGGATACACCACCAAAGAACCTGACGTGGAATCCTAAGTAACGCTAAATCAAATAGCCTCCAAATGAGATAGATCGGCACTTTAGGAGCATAGGAAACCTTCGACACATTGAAAGTTTGGACAGAAAATGTGACGGAAAAAAATTACGGCAAGTAAGCTTTTAGTTTCATCAAGAAGATAATAATAGCACAAGCTGTGGGAAAATAATCCTCGACGAGTGAACAAGCTAGATCCAATCCTACTTTATATAATTCGCTAAGTGTGTGTGTGTATGTGTGTGTGTGTAAATGTGTGTGTATGTGTGTGTGTTGGTGTGTGTGTGTATGTGTATGTGTGTGTCGGTGTGTGTGT